ACAAATAAAAACAACAAAAAAACCCCAACCTACTACCGTTTGGATAATGGCAGTGTTCAGAAGCAGAGGCAGATACAAACTGTGAAAACATGCAGAGATTAGGGGGTTTGCCCTTACCAAAGCTCACCTAGAGTGGTAACCTCCTTAATGAAGAATACTTTTTCTGATACTGTTTTTTTTTACTTTATTATTTTATATCTGCTAAAGATCAAGTTACTATGGACCTTTAGATGATTAATAAGAAAATCTTTTTTAAAATGCTCTCAGGGGAAGGGGGTAAGGGTTTGAAGGAACTAGTATAAAGGACACATGGACAATAACAAGGGGGGTGGAAATGGGAGGGAGGTGGGGAGGGCTGGGGGGGTGGGCAGGGATGGAGTAAAGGGCAGAAAACTGTATTTGAACAACAATTAAAATAAAATAAATAAAATAAATGCTGCAAAAGTATACACTCAGAAGTTCACATTTTAGTATGAACAAATTAAATTGTTCAATTAAAATTAATTGCACTGAGAGATTTGAAGTTTTGTCACTTGCACACTTTGGGGCATAGAAGGAGGAGACTGGGACCCCAAGCCTGGGGAAGGTGCACAAAGAGTTGAGAAAGGAGTGCAGAAGGGCGGTTGGAAGAAAGCTACTGAAATTCAGTTGGTCCACAGGGAAAAAGGAATAGAAATTCCTTTCACCAGACAGCGTGACCCTTCAGAGACTGAGAAACAGAGCCTCAGAGTAGTGATGCTCTATTTCATCATTAGTGTGTGGCTGCACTTGGGAAGGTTACCCTAGGAACCTATTGATCTTTTATATATAACATTTCTTATGTTGAAAACTATGTCCTGGGTAATCCATAACCATCTTACACATAGTCTTTGGAGTAATATCCATTTTAGAATTAGAATTAACATAGATAAATATCTTAACAGAAAGAAGTTTCCATATCCAACAAACCAAAATTCCTTTTAATTTAGTGATAACACAAAATAACTTTCATTCTATTGCATTTGGAAGGCCCCTGCTTATGAGGTGACACTTCACTCTATAGCACATTTTAGGTATTTTAGACATGCTGGAAAGATTCTTGCAGAGTCAATTAGGCAAAGGCCACATTATGTAAATGACAGCTATAAATGATTGATTCCCAGTTCAAGATCTTTGATGCCCATTTTCAGAGTTAATAATTTTTAAAAGTTAAACTGATTGTTTTATGTTTATTTAAGCATCACGAAATACTGGCTTTTAAAAGAATATAAACAAGATAGCTTGATGATAGTTTTATTAGGAATCTGATAAATTATTCAAATAGAAGTTTTTCAAATATGCCAACATTTTGAACAATTTATAATGGTTTTAAAAGAGTTAAAAACCCCTATTCTTTAAAATTAAGCAATTTACTATTCCCAATACATATTAATGACATGTAGTTAGTATATACATATTACTTTTCCTTTGAAAGGTAATTTTACTTTACATTTAATTTTTAAATATTAGGTCATTAAAAATGAAGTTTCAATATACAATTTATACTTTTGATGTAATTTCACACTAAAATAAGAAGTTTTAAAGAAGATTTTTATAAAAGTAAATGATACCAAGTATTTCCATATTTTAATTATTTTGAACTTGTGATTAAAATGTGGAACTTCCAGAAAATCTGCTGTGAAAAAAAAATCTATCATATAAAGCAAATTACTGGACATAATTTTAAATGTTTAATGTGTAAAAATATTTGTCTCAGGAAAAAAGAAAGCTTGGTTGAACACTAGTCCAAAGTTCAGATTGAACTCTAAGTATTAAGAAGATTAAGTGATTCTCTGAACATCAGTGAGAAGTGTGTAGAAGATGGAGGTCACCCTTTGAAAGAAGATCTCTGTGACCTGTATAAATAGGAGCCCCACAAACACTTCCAACAAGCATAGGTCAGAACAGGGTCATGGCTCCAGGCCCTCTGGACCACTGTACACCCGGTGGAGTGTGCTCACCGCGTTAATCTCTCATCCTTCAGTTCCAGGTCAGCCACTGTGATGAGCTGATCCAGCTTGAATTTAGTGTCAATAATTTCTGCATCTCGAGGAGAGTACGTGCCACCTTCTTTCTGCTTCTGACGAATTCTAAAGTGTAGTCAAGTCCAAGAAGGGAGTATCACAGAAAGCATATGAATTAGGTTTAATTTTCAAGTAAAGATATTAGTCAAATAATTTCTTTGTTGGAATCACTTCTCTGAATATACTATAAATTTATAGCTACTCAATTTCTTTTTCAATTTTAATTCCATAGAACCTATTCTACTATATAGTTTTTAACATGTTGTTTTTTTAAAGTTACAAGTTTTAATGAGAATTGTTGATCAAGGCCTGAGCCACTGGCATATTTAAAATATAGAAAAAAATTAGACTGATTCTGTGTTTGTTTCTCCCCCTCCCCCCGAGCTGTCTCATAGATTTTTCACAAATACAAAATATGACAAAGTGGAAATAGCTCATTGTTATCAGCACCAATGCTGAAAATCAATGTTCTGTTATTTTTACATACATGAAAATACTTAAAAATGTGTTTTGAACTGCCTTAATGACTTTTTTAAAATACTGTGAACTGTATAATCTTTATTTACAATCAGAAAAGTCAGGTTCAAAAATAAAAGTCAAATAAATCTGAAAATCATATTAAAATCTTTTCATTTTAAGTAATTTACATTATTTTTATGATACAGGTGGTCTAGTATATTACAAAGTAACATTTAGCTATTTTATCTCTTTCACATTCCAAACATGTATTACTTGTTATATGTTATATACTCAAGATGATATAGGAAGCATAAAATATTGTGCTTATCCTCAAGGATGCTACAATTTAGTTGAGGAGCAGGATTTAAATTTATAAAAAAATATAAAACAGAAAAAAGATTCAAATTACAACTCATAAGAGAGTAACTAATTAGTTTCAAATGTTGCATGAGTGGCTGTAACTCTCATTATTTTGAGGAAGTAAAGGAGTGGGACTGGACTTGGTTGTTCCAGAATGAGGGGGAGGAGGAGGAAGCATAGTCTGGTGGACTGAACAACAGCGGAGTTAGTTGTACAAAAAGTCTAAGGAATGTTTAGGTGAGAATATACACATTTGGCTAAAGAGATGTAGGGAAGTTATAGGGAAGAAGGAAGGACCATTTCCTGCCCACATAAGGAGTTCATCCTGTAAGGACATGACAAGGCAAAAACGATTTTAGAGTAGGGAAAAAATTATAAATATGGCTGATGGGTGCCCCCTTAGGAACAATGTCCATATCTTACACAATGTATCTTTTCTTCTTCTATCACCATTTATTCACCCTTTAACCTCTTCTACATTACCCACCCCCCCACACCTCTTTTTCCCTCTGGTAATCACCATCCTATTGTCTGTGTCACCAGTTTTTTTTCTTAATCTCTTCACCTTTTCACCTAGTCCCCTAAACCCCTCCCCTCCGACAGCTGTCAGTCTGTTTTCTGTATTTATAAGTCTGTTTCTATTTTGTTTGTTTATATTGTTCATTAAATTCCACATACAGGTGAAACTCTATGGTATTTGTCATTTTCTGGTTTATTTCACTTAGCACAATACACTTTAGGGCAATCCATGCTGTTGCAAAAGGTAAGATTTTCTTTTTAAAGGCAAGTAGTATTTTCCATTGTGTAAATGTACCACAGCTTTTTTATCCATTCATCTACTGATGGCCACTTGGGCTGCTTCCAAATCTTGACTATTATAAACAAGATACAAGGAACATAGGGTCACATATTAAAATGCTTAGAATAATGATTGAACATCTGACTGAATCTGAGAATTGTAAGTGGTATAAAAAATGTTTTTCAATAATTTTTTTAAACTCCCATCAAAATGATTTAAGAGATTCAATATGAAACAGACTGTACATGGAATTCAGAATGCATAACAATATTCTTCAAGTAAAATTAAAATAGAACCTAGTGAATTATTTAGGAAATTAGTAGAATGGGTATTTTTACAAATGTAGGGTACCTTTAACTTGGTAACTTACCTTATGAAAGTAGATGTTAGGATCGTACCAAGATTCCCCTGAGGTAGTATAACCAACAGGTGAATTAAGAGGCGGATACTGAGAATTTAGAACACTTAGAAAATGTAGCACAGACATGTTGATAAAGTTAATATAAAAAGGAGGCCGCTACAGAAAGAAGTTGAACATCTTTGGTGTTGTACTTACTGTAAAAATTATCTGTTCTGTATAAACTTTAAATTAGACTTAATTAAAATATTTTTAAAAAACTATTAATAAACCTATCATTCATTAATTATTCAAAAAATGTAAAAAGCTTAGCATTTTCTGCTTTTTTTGTGTTATCGCTTTATTGTCTCTCAGCTGTAAATCTATTCTTCTTTTCCTGGTTTGTAATATTGGGGCTAGATGCTATAGCATTTCTCCTTTGCCTGCTAGCGAGAAGTCAAGCTTTGTCAATAAAGGACACTAGAGTGAACCTGCAAGGTTACAGGGACAGGGAGACGCTTCCCTTGTGGGTTCATGCTGAAATATTATTATTCATTGTGGGAGCCCAGCAGCCCACCTGGATGAGGTCTAGCTGCCTCTCAAGTGTTTGCTCTTTTCACAGGTGAATGAGAACAAGTAGCTTATCCACAAATATCCAGCCAGGTAGGCTGCTTCTTCAGGCCATTCCAGTCTGCTTACCTTCCATTAATGATAGGTAGCTTGTAAAGAACAGCTCTAGCCCATTCCCTCTGCCATATTTTTGCACAGTGATAGGTTATATAGGCTACATGTGCTTGCAGTAACCATTCCTTGTTAGCCTTGGGAGTGGGTCTTTTAATACTTATTAGCTCCTTTGCTGTCCTCTCTCTCTCAGCCTAGAGAGAGTCTCTGCACTTACTTGCTGCACTTACTGCTTCTGAACCCTTAGAGTTCTCTTTACCTTCTGTAGTAGTCAACTATTTTTACTAGTTAACAATTTTTTTATTAAATATTTCCCATTTAGGTAACTGTTGTGGCCTCTCTCTTCTGATTGGACTGAGACTGAATAATGCCCACAAAGCATACTAGGAATGTGAGTACAAATAATTCTCACCTTGCAAATGCAAAAATAGCTGTTCCAAGAAGAATGATTGAAAGGATACACAAAGTGACTGAAAGAATAATCTCCACAGTTCTTTCTGAAAGTCCTTCACCTGAATAGGAGGAAGTATGATATTATCATTAATTATTATTACAGAACACTATCTTGGCTCTCAAAACAAAGGAAATATTTTCTTGGAATATTGCTCAAGAATGCTTATAAAATGTATAGATTTGTTTGTTCCTCTTCTCCTACATCTTCTAAATTTGGGATTCAGTCCTTGGACCTCTTCTTTTTTATATAATTTTATTTGTTTATTTTTAGAGAGAGGAGAAAGGAGGGAGAAAGAGAGGAAGAGAGACAGCAATGCGTGGTTGCCTTTCATATGTGCCCTCCACCAGGGCAACCAGGCCTGCAACCCCGGCGTGTGCCCTGACTGGGAATTGAACCGGTGACACTTAGGTTCACAGGCCAGCACTCAATCCACTGAGCCACACCAGCCAGGGCGGACCTCTACTTTTCTCTACCTAAATGTACTCACTTGGTGAGCCCATCCAGCCTCATGGCTTTAATTTTCATCTATATAATGTTGTCTACTTAATTGTTACCTATTGAACTTACTTGTATAACCAACTGCCTCCTGGAAGTATAATTAAAATTAAAGTATCAATACTTCCAAAGCTAACCTCCTATACTTTCCTCCTTTCAAATGCATCCCTCCACCACTAGTTGAAGGCAACTACATTGTTCCAGTTACTCAGGCCCCAAACCTTAGAGTCATACATGACACTCTCTTAGAACACATTAAAAATCTTTGAGGAAATCCTGTTGTCTTTATCTTCAAGTTATACTCTCTTTGCACTAAAAGAAACTAGGAAAACTTGGATAGTATTTCTAAAGTGGAAGTAGGAAATATGATGAATTTACAAACCTAATGGAGTTTGAAAGTTAAGAAGCTTTCAAAGACTGATAATATGAGAACAAAAGATGCTCTGGAAGAGTTTTCTACTGGCCAAAGAGGGAACAACTCAAACTTTATAATAAATAAAAACTGGAATTGATGGAAACAGAGTCAATTTATAACAATTCATGCATCCTAATAAAATTTAATGAAAGAAAAATAAAAAATACTAATTTGTAAATATTAGTTATAGTAGACATCCATTTCCTTACTTTAAAAATTTGTAATTAAAGGGAGAAGATTAGGAATTTTTTCTGCATATGAACTATAATATATGAATTTACCATAGGTCTAGTTAAGGAGATAAACCTCTTCATTGTAGAATAATTCTGTTTAAGAACTATAGAAGGAATAGTAAAATTAGAAATTCACAATATTACATTCCTAATGAAAAAACTGATTCAGGTAACAATCATAAATGCATCTTTAAATGATCAGTAGGAAGATTGACAGGAAATTGAATATTTGTAGAATGCCAAAATAATGCCCTGCAGATTGTTTGCTGGTTATAACAAGGGAAAAAACAATGTCCCAATGAGGAATCATGCTGTCACTACTACGAAACTTACTGATCAATTCTGATATCATAGAAAAGGTGACAACAAGATAATACAAACCTTCTGATGTGAGGTATTTTGATTTAGACATCAACGCCTTTAAAGGATTCCTGCCATAAACATTGACTGTGAATATTCAGGCCTTTAGATCTTATTTCTAATTTATAAGAAAGTACTGAAAGGCAGAAAAAATAAATAAACCAAGCAAAAGTAACCGGACAAATTCAGAATGTGGGACCTCCTACAGAACAACTCATCTGGTTGCTTCAATGGGTCTATGTCACAGGGGAAAAAAGAGGGGAAAGAGAAGTCTCTTCTAGATTAAAAGAGACTAAGAGACCCAACAGTCAAAGATAATGTGTGAACCTCTTATTAGGATCTTTTTTGAAAAAGATTTTATTCACTTATTGTTAAAGAGAAGGAAGGGGGGGAGAAAGAAAGGGAGAAAAATATCAATGTGTAGTTGCCCCTCATATGCCCCCTGCTGGGGACTTGGCCCACAACCCAGGCATGTGCCCTGATGGGGAATTGAACCCTTGACCCTTTGGTTCACAGGCTGGCACTCAATCCACTGAGCCACACCAGCCAGGGCTCTTATTTGGATCCTGACTGAAATGACCTATATAGAAAAATATCGGAGAATGATTTAAAGATGTATGTAGTTTTATATAATATCAAGGATTTATTGTTAATTTTATTTAACTGTGATAATATGATTTATATGTACTTATAGAGAAGCATAGTAAAATATTTCAGGATGGAATATAATGTCTTCTGTGATTTACTTTAAAATACTTTGGAAGTATTTACTTTGGAAGTAAAAGAACAAATGCATAAAAATATGGCAATGTGTTAAAATTATTAAATATAATTAGTAGGTTTTGTGGGAGTTCAATATACTCTTCAAAATTTTTGTGTATTCTCTGCTCATTTCTCACCACCTCTGCTGCTAGCATCCTGATCCAGGCTACCATCCTGTTTTACGTGAATTATTGTATGGACACCCAAGAAGTCTCCTATGTTCACCCTTGTCTTCTTTCTATCTATTCTTAACATAGCAACAAGAGTCCTCCTTTTTAAACATTATCTGTCTGCTTAAAAGACTCCTCTCTAACAGAGAAAAGCCAAAGTTCTTCCAAAAGACTATTTGACCTGGTCCCTCATTAATTCTCTGGTTCCCTGTTACCTCTGAGTTTCTCTCCAATCTCTACCTTGTTCATTCCTCTGGAGACAGACTAGCCTCCTTATTGTTCCTGGAACACACTAAGTCACTCTTGACATGAAGCTTTTGCACCAGCTTCTTCCTTTGCCTGGAAGGGTATCTCCCTTATACATCTGCCTAGAGAGCCATTTCATTACCTTCAAGAGTTTGATTCTCAGGATGGCTATACTGACCACCTCTTAGGAATGTATAGGTGCCTCCAAATTCATATGTTGAAGCTCTAAATCCAGACTTGAATACATTTAGAGTAAGGAAGTAATTAAGTTTAAATGAGATCATAAAGGTTGGGCCTAACCCAATAAGCACAATGGGATTAGTATCCTTATCAGAAGAGACTTGAGAAAGCTGGCTTTCTGCCTATGTACACACACACTAAGGAAAGGCCATGTGAGGACAGTGTGAAGAAGGCCTTCTACAAGCCAGGACAAGAGTCCTCACCAGATACCAAATTGACTGCAACCTCGATCTTGCACTTTTAGCTTCCAGAACTGTGAGAAAATAGATTTTTGTTGTTTAAGTCACCAGTCTATAGTGTTTTGTTATGGCAGCCCAAGAAAACTAAGAAACCACCATTAAAAAAAGATACAACTAGTTCACTTCCTGCCATCTCTCTTCTACATCTTCTGCACCCTGTTGTACTCTTTTTTTTCTCCAGATCCCTTATCACATTTTAATTTACCTTATAATTTATTTATTTATTATCCTTATTGTTTATTATCTGTCTAGAATGTAAGCTCCTTGAGAACAGGGGTCATTATTTTATCCAAAACTGCATTTCAAGTTCTGAGAAAAGTACCAGACACATAATAAAGTCTCTATATATTTGCTAAATTTACTAATGATTAAAATATTGATTTTGTAATAGATATTAAAATTTTTTAGGTTGGATATCAGGTACTGAACCAAATAAGAAGATACAAATTATTAGTCATTTATTTTAGATAACTACTAATTATAATTATAATCAATTTTAATTGATATGATTTATAATATTACTGAAAAAAGTATTAAAGTCAAGCAACAAAATAAAATAGGTTACCTATCATAACATATGCAGGGCATAATGTTTCATATTTTTCCCTTGGTTTGATGCTTACGAAAGCTGAGCAATATAAAAGGATGTGGCTATTCCACATGGTAGACTTAAGCAAACACTGGATCTTAAAGAATTATCAGAGTTTTACGGTCCTCTAGAATCACTAGCAAAATTTAGAAGACATTAAAGCAGCAGGCAGCTCATAAACTATTTTAGATACACCTTTTTTATATGTTAAAATAAGAATGGTTGGTCTGATGAATTTTCACATGCTCACTCTAATTGGATATGCTTGGGAAAGGATACATAAAGATGAATAAAGAATCTTTATCAGGTAGTACTGAATCACTGAACCTCAGAACTCAGTGGGGGAAAAATGATATCATAGACCATAAAATGTTTTCTCATACTAGATTACCATTTCAAAGCACCAGCCAACTGAAGTTAGGAAATGACATATTATGTATTAATAAACAATTTGTAATCCCTTGGGCACATGTGTTACAAAAGCACCACTAGGAGAGGACAAAATATGCCATGGTTGTGAGAACAAATTCTGATTCATGGCTATGCATGTACACACAGAGCATTACCAGTAGAGAATGAAGACACTTTCATAAATCTTTTCATAGAAAATGGAATTCTTTCACCTAAAAATATAAACATGAATGTTTTTGGAATAAGCACAAGTCATTTCCTCATTAGACTTCAAATTCTATAAAAGGCCAAATTAAATTATGTTGTATTTGTATGATAAACAAATAATTAAAAAAATAGTAATTATAAAGTACTAATTAAGTTTTCATCAGTATTATCTTTGATTGAAATTCTCATTATTTAAACTCAGCATATGGATCTGACTTATTAAGCCAATTTTATATCTCTAAGAAGCTTAAGTTAAATGAGTTATAAAGCTTATAAGCTTTACATTGTGTGGCTCTTGACTTAGGTACATATTACATGATCTTATTATTATTTATATTATTATTAATCTTAAAAGAAAACAAGTTCTTTTAATGGAACTCCAATATAAGGAGTTACTCTCCTTTGGCCTAGTCATCCTGGATGTTCTAATACTTCACAAAAATTTACCAAAAGTCACTCAATTTCATAATCTAAGAAACATAAATTAAAATAAGCTAGGTAGATATTATTATCATATATCAGATTGTCAAAATTTTAGAAGTAGATAATATAGTGGTTTCCAAGGTATAG